AGTTGCGTCGAACAATCCAAAGGAGATAGCACAGTAAAAGGGAGAATGATATGTGATTTCTTGTCATACAGGCATTTGGGCAAGGTTTGAATTAACCCGAATTGCCTGGACACCAAGTTCGGTTGATAGGCTAGCAAGTTGGAGTGACCTTTTACAAGGTTTAGTTTGTGAATCAGTAGGTGGGGAATGAGGAATCTCTCCCAAATCAGCTTTGACTCCTCCTCGTGTTTCTTTAAGGGAGCAGAGAAGGGTCTAGTAAACCATTCTGGCCCACATTTTCGTTCTGAGAAGGGAGCCATCTTCGCGGTAAACTCATGCCTTTTTGCAAACATATGAACAAAGCTGGATAAATTGGATCGAAGGGAATGGCCTTCCTCGCTAGGAGTAAGTTGAGCCATGCGAGGCCATTCGACTCTTCTCTCAGCAACTGCATGCCAACGTTCATCAACTTCACCTTTGTTGGGAAGACTGTGCTTAAAAGTGGCATTAAGCTACAACTGAAGAAGCCAGAAGGGGCCCGACAACAGCAAGTAGCCATGGCTGTCAGGATCTTTCAGTTTACCCGCACCTTCGCCTAAGGCCTCATAAAGATTGGCCAGGATCATTTCACTAAGGCAAACGCCTCTCTTCACATGTAGCTGGTTGGCTAGGACCAGATACTTCTGTGCCACCTGCAAGGATTTGGTACAAAATACACAACGGGACAACCACATGGCCAAAAAGGCTATATGTTCTTCATCGTCAACAGAGGTACTAGTTTTATTATGGTAATGTTGGACAAAAGTTGTATAAGTATGTTTAGTATTGGCAAAACCAATGATGTCATGACTATCGATCTCGGGATCATAAACAAGGTCGTAGGGTTTTAGACCTACAATGGCAGCTACGTCGAGTAAAGTGGGTGTCGTCATCCCACAAGGAAGGTGAAAAGTGTTATGAGTCCTATCCCAGAAGAATAAGGAAGAAGCCAGCATAAGGGGGCAGTACGAAGGACCTATCTTCGACATCATAATCAGATCGTAAATCCCAGTGTCCTTCCATTCCAGGGCTTTTACTTTCTCTATTTTCGCCAGCCAGTTGAGATAAAGTTCGGAATCTTTGAAGTAGGGAGTGGCCCTAAATAATCTGGCCCATCATGAAGATACCTAAAGTCTACGTCGAAAAGGCTCAGGCTATCAGGACCGTCAGTGGAAATTTTATTAAAGTCTTTTTTCCCTAGAGGTTTAGTGGTTCTATAAGAGGGAAAGAAATCTTTAATGGCGGAGTAGTCAAGACCTGGAGGGGGTAAAGGCCCAGACATGGCTAAAGGTCTCCCTGCAACAGTAACAGGAATGATTACCTGAGATTCGTAAATGTGGCGTTTCTCCTCCGTCAGGGGTTTGCGGATGAACTGTTGATTCTTTACCACTTGAGGGCCGCTCAAGCTAGCAAAGGGAGGAAGTGTGGAGGCAGAAGTTTGTCCTTTAGATGGCATTTTCTTCTTTTGATGATCAGCCATTTCTAAAGAAAGTGAGAGTTTGTTGGTTGGAAGCAGAAATTAGAGAAAAAGCAAGGAAAGTTGTGAAGAGTTAGAGAAGTTGTAAAAAAATGAAAACATCAAAGGGAAATTACTTATATAAGGTATGGAAGACTGAAAGTTTTCATCATTAAGGGGATAGAGTTAGTGGGCCACGTGTGTGTTCAGATGTGGGATGGCAGAGGCAGTAGTTGCAATTCACGTCCCCGAGGTTGGAAAGGTGATGATGGCCCACGATTTTGTTGATTCCCGAGAAAATAGCCATGATGATAGTGACGTCATAAATGTGCATCAAGGTGGCGGAACAATAGCTTGCGTGTTCATAGCTATCTTTCTTTTTCTCTTTCATTCCCTTTCAACTTCTCAGACTTACATTGGTGGAAAGAGTATCAGACGACACTCATGGGGCAAAGCGGCGTCGAAGGTCATACGCTGTAAAAAAAGTGCTTTTCCACAGTCGAAGTTAAAAAGACATTTTTGGGGGGCAATTTGTTAGCTCATAAATTCGAAGCCTCAGTTAGAAAGAAGGTATTTAAGACAAAAGGGTGGAAAATAAGTTGAATATAAGAAAATAGTTGAAAGAAGCAAAATAGCTAAGTCGAAGGACTCACCCAGAAGCCAAGAGTTCGACCGCCTGCTGAGAAGAATGGTTTGTCGAAGGATTTGAAATTTAAAATATTGGAGGGAACGGTTTTGCTTGTTGAAAATTGAGGGAGAGACGTGTCACCTTATGAGTAATAGATCCACGCATTTGTGACAAGTGGCGAAAGGAGATTATGGTAGAGGTTATGAGAGGTTATTTCTTTTTACTATAAATAGGGTGTCTTAGACATATGCAAAGTGTGTTGTAATTTACTATTGTACAAATTACTCTTGAAATTACTCCAAGTATCCGAGTGTAGAGAAAGAGAGTGTTGTAAGAGAATGTACGTGATGTAAACACACCATCTTTTAACTTAATGCAATTTACTTGTTTTTACTTTAAGTTTTACAAAGTCTTTTATTGTCTTTATTGTCTTTACCCCTTTTCCTCCTTACCTTATTTCTCTCCTTCCTATGCAATTCTTTTCTCTTCGTCCTCAATCTAACTTCACCCTTACCAACAAACTTTCTTCTCTTTTATTAGAAGTCTTACTTTACCTTTAAATTAACCCGTAGTCGAATAGATGTTCTTTTAGGATTCTTTTATCCCAATATTGTTCGAGTGTGGAACTTGAATAAATTCTTAAAACCAAAAAATAAATCTTTTAGCACATGTCCTAGGATCAATCTGATCGATCCTGTGAGTCACCAAAGTTAGATTTGAAAGATTAGCGGTTGTTTTTCGATTTTCAAGAGAAACACCGTCGCAAAACCATTTTTTTCTTTTATTGTTTCTTTCAATTATTTTATTAATATTTTTAAATTCTAAACTAAATTAGAATTGGAATATTTTTTTATTATTTATATTGATTTAAGGAACAAGTTTGATTTGGTGATTTATATTAAAATTACATAAAATATATTTTGATTCAATTTTACATTAGAATAAGCTCAATTGTTTCATTAAATGTATTTAATAAAGTTAGAAGTAAAATAACTTTGATAAAAAAATGCAATTATAAAGAATATGCTACATCAAAACTTGATTTTTCACACTTTATTTATTTATATGTATAGAGTGTTGATCAGAAAAATCTAAGTCAAATTTTACTTGATTTTAATATTTAAAATTAAACCAAAACTTTATTATTAAGCAAAATAAAATAAAATTTTAAATAAAATAGTTGAATAGAAAGAAAAATTTGACGAAAAAACTAGAACAAAATATGGCATTTTCTTTATATATGAATTGAAAATGAATAAATGGTTTGTACTAACATTCTAGCATTTTGTTGCAATAATTATATTTTGTTACTTGTTAGTTGTCTGTGTGATATAATATTTTTTTGAGTTTTGGATGGTAGATTGTAACACTAATCATTTAGGGTGTTTTTTGAATCTTTTATTTTTTTGGACATAAAATTATATTTATGGTTGGTTATTTTTTAATTTTGCATGTTGTTGTCTGGACTATTTGAAAATTCCACAATGATGTTAATTTTAAAGGAGTCACAAAAACATTGAAAAAAGTGGAGGAAAGTAGTTTTTTTAACCTGGAAATGACTTCTTGGCAAATCAAAGATAAACTCTTACACCTTTATTTATTTGATGGTTTTTGGTTTTATTGATATTCTCTAGATGTAATTTTATCTATTAATGTTAGATTTGATAGTTTGAGATCTAACATGCTACTAATTAATAAGGTGTTGATTTTAATAGTTTGAGCCTTTATCTACGCGGGGAACTATTTGACTCTTTTAGTAATTTAATTGTTTTTGATATTCTTCTTTTTTTTTTTTTTGTTGTTCTTATTTTGTCTATAGTTTTATTTAACACGTTTTGTGTTGGTTATTTTCATACTTTTATATATAATACTTGTCAATAAAAGAAACAAATAATGTTAATATATGGTTTGCAATTTTTACAAATATCTTTTATGTTAGTATGTTTTTAATGCGAGAAACAGCTTATCCTATGTTTTTAATATATGGAAATTGTGTGAGATGCTAACAAACAAAATTAATGCGTCCATTGTTTTATATACTTTTTATAATTAAAGAATCACTTATAGTTAATTAATTAATTTTTTACAATTTTGATTAAAAATACATTACTTTTTAATATGAAACAGATATATTAAATGATGATAAAAAATATTTAGTTAACAAAAATTGGTCTTAATTAATAGATGTATAAAAAAATCACATATATGAATCAAAATATTTCATTGAATAAGTATTTAAAATATTGATCTTAACTAAGAAATATTAATAAATAATTTTTATATAATACTTATACGGTTTGAATGTAAAAAGATATTATTTAATAACTATTATAATATATTTAGTTTTGAAAAGTTTATATAAACTATTAGACATGCATAAAAAAAATTATATTATAGTTATACAATTTAAATTTTAATAAATGATGATTAAAAATTTTAGTAAATATGATTAAAAATATTTAATTAAAAAATTGATCTTAACTAAGAAATATTAAAAAAATTAATTTTTATATAATACTTGTACCGTTTGAGTGTAAAAAGATATAATTTAATAGTGATTATAATATATTTAGTTTTGAAATATTGATATAAACTATTAGACATGCATAAAAAAATTTATATTATAGTTATACAATTTAAATTTTAATAAATTTTATAAAATGATGATTAAAAAGATTTAGTTGTAAAGTATGATGTTAATAATAAATATGCAGCCGTAATAAAACAGTAATAAATATTGTTATAAGATTTTAATTTAGAAAGATATGATTATTAAATGATGATTTAAAAAGATTTAGATGTAAAGATTTGATTTGAATGATTTAATCTATAAAAGGAAAAGCACACTCCCATAAACTTTTAAAGTAATGAAACACCATATTCATCGGTTTATGCAAAATGTATTCATCAAAAGGTGAGGAAGCTAGGAAGCATCCGATTATCAAGCTTTCTTATCCTCAAAAGCGCAGATCAGATGTTGATGATTCTGAAGAAGATAGTCATAAGAGGAGAAAGCCAATAGTTACTAGTCGTTGGGCTGAAGTTAAGAAAGAAGAATCAAAGATTTCTTCAAATGATGAAGCTGTTGATTTGGGGTGCAAGAAGATGATCAAGAATTCGGATGATCCAAGAGAATCCTTGAAAAAGAAACCAATGGAACGTTACAAGAGAATGCAATGTTGGGTGATTCTAAAGAGAATGATAGAAGGAAGAGATGGATGGGCTTTGAATGAAGCTCTTGATCTCAAAGGTTCAGAGAGTGATGATAATAAGCTGATTCATTCAATTGGTTTGAAAGACATTGAAGCTAAGTTGAGATTGTATTCAACACCCGATGAATTTGCTAATGACATGAGACTCGTATTTTCTAATGCATTCATGTTGCATTCTTCAAGAGATCACGTTTTCAATATTGCAACGAGGTTTAGTGATGAATTTGAAAGAAGATGGAAATCCTTGAAGAAAGAGTGGGCACTTGAGAAAACAAGAGTCAACAAGATTCATCAAAGAAAGATTACAAAGGAGAAATAAGCATGCATCAATCAATGTCTTTTCAAACAAGTTTAACCATGTCATTTTTTTTTGTAATATATTATTAATAAACCCTTACCAATTATCTTTAGTTTTTCTGGTTTTCTATATTTTCAGAAATTTTTTTTAACGACGCGGCATATTATAAGAGTATAGTTGAGTCATATTTGTTTGTCATTCAACAAAACATATTTAACATCTTAATTCAATATTCAATATTTTCTACTCAATATTTATTTTTTAAACAGTAAAAAAGTAAAGGGTATAATTGGAATTTGCATCTTAAATTAATACAAGAATAATCCAAATTTTCCACTCATGTCCCGCTAGCTCAGAAACCATTTTTCTTCTTCGAATATCATTTCTAATGTAATCTTAATCTTAATCTATATGTGAAGATAATGAATATGTAAGTTTTTGTAACTTTAAAGAGTCGCATCAAGAACTCATTCCTCAAGATAATACGATTGATGAGTGAGTTCCTTTTGAGGCATAATCACATATATAAAAGGATTCTTAGATGTCAAAATAAGTTTGACTGATTTTGTAAATCAAGTATGATCTTATTTGAGTACATTGTATATTTATTTTTTTTGGATATTGAAATTAAGTTACAAATATATTTATTTTTTGGATATTGAAATTAAGTAATAATTTGGACTGTTTTTTTAGTGTCCAAATTCTTGAAAGGCCAATATCCAAAGAGGACGAATGATTTAAAACACTTGGACGAGGGAAGTTTTAAGAGTTAAAATTCATGTCATTGGCCTTTCAGGAAATAAAATTATTTTCTTTTATTATGAACATGTTTTAAAAAGTGTCAAAAATAATATTCTGCATGTAGTTGAAGGAAAGCATTATGCAATTTAGCATAAGATGGTTCAACTAACCACATTTTTTTCATCATTAGAATTGTATAAAGACATTAATGCTATGTTTTTTTTATTCTTTATCTAACGATGAACTTACTTCAATGTCTTAACATGCAACACAAGTCTTTTTAAATTTCCTATCCTTCTTCATGTTGACATTGATATTTAATTTTGAAGAGTATGACATGTGTAACACCTCGAATTCAATTAATTAATTTAATTGAATTTATTTTTATTTTATTTAAATTTTTAAGTGATTTATGTGTTTTTATTTGGACACTTGAAAATATGTGTTTTGGAGGGTTTGGAGAGAGTTAAGGGAATGGTAGAAATTAATTAGATTAATTTAAGTTGAGTGGAATAATTAAAAATAAGGTAGTTCTAGAAAAATAAGAGAAATAATTTATTTTTGTGGATGATTGAATTATTAGAATTAAATAATTAAAAATAAAGAAAATTAGAGTTAGTAAAAGGAGAAAGGGCAATATGAGAAATAGGATAGTAAGTTGAGGGTGATAAGGAAAATTACATAGTTAGGAAATTTGGGTCTGGCTTAAATAGAAAAACTGAGGGCTAGACCTTTTTACAATACATGTTATTTTGGATAACAAGGGAAAAGAGACAAGTGAGACAACTTAGGGTTTGGGAAGAAAACTCCATTGTTAAGGAGTTTAGGGCTTGCTTTGCTGAAAATTCAAGGTAAGGTGGTAGATTACTCTTCTATGAGTGTATAGTATATAGAGGGTGGAGAGAGATCCTCACCCTCCTATAGGTTTTTTTTTTAATTTCACCATTATTGAAGTGTTCATGTGTTCTTGATGAAAACTGTATCAATTGTGTGTCCAATTATTATGATTCATGAATTAATTTGTGTGTTATAACATGTTTAATTTTTATGAGATTGTTATATGCTGTTAAATTTATGATATGGTGTGTTTGGATGTTATGATGAGAATTGGTTTGGGTATGAGGGTTAGCGAATGGGAAAGATGAAGTAAATATGTTGAAAACTTGGATATTTGGGATTTTGGCTGATGTCAATCGATTGACATCATGTGTCAATCGATTGCACGCGTGAAAAATTAGAAAAATATGAAAAAGTAAACTATGTCAATCGATTAATTCCCCTATTCAATGGACTGTTCTTAGCCAAAATGTGAAAAATTAGAAAGGCAGAATGTAATGAAGAATCATGTCAATTGATTGCCCCTAGATGTCAATCAATTAATGCTAGTTGAATTTTGAAAAATTGCTTTGTTGAATCATATTATTTTATTCGATTATTTTTGCCATAACTTTAGTTCTATAAATTCAAATGAGGTGCAGTTTGAAGCATTGGAAATCTATCGCGTAAATGTTTAATTATGAGTCTATATGGGTGCTGGAATTTGTGAATATTAATTGTTTTACTTGTTACATAACAATTAATGATAACGAATAAATGGTTAATTATTGTAAACAAATGAGTTGATGGTGAAGCGATGTTAAGATGATTTAACATGATTGGGTGTTATGTGGATGGGTAAATGATTGATGATGATTATAGAATGATAATTGATCTACTTAGATATTGATGTTTATATGGTGTATCAATTGTATGGGATGCATATGATGTTGTTTGTGATGTTGTATGAGGTGAATATGATTGGTATGGTTGAAAGATGTATTATTATATGTGATTAATTATGTATGTTTGATGTGATGATAAATAATTTAGAATGGGGACTATTTGTATGCTTGTATGCATTGTTGCTATAATTGTTAGATAGTAATTCAGAAGGGGGTTGTTATTGTGTGTCAATGCATGTTGTTTATGGTCAGACGGAGACCGTAAGCATTTTTATTGTTTTTGCATTTATTTGAATTGACATGCATAGTTTTTTATGTCGTTTAAATATGCATGTTAGCTAGTTTAGAATGGGGGATTGGTGATTCGTACCAAGCTCATCATGGGGGCTTGGAGCTCAGAAAGGGGGCTCATGGGTTCAGAAGGGGGACCTAGTTTCTGAAAGAACCAAATGTTGAGTTGATACCACATGCATATATATTTAAGGTATAGTCACATTGCATGCAAGTTGGCATTTGTGAATTGATGATTATTGTGTGAATATATATCTACATCGAGTTTAAGTTAGCTACCGATATGAGTTGATGTGAATGAGTAATTGACTATGTGAGTTGATTGGAGTGTCTTGTATGAGTTTATATTATCTATGATTGTTGTGCAGATACATTACTTGTTGATAATTATTGTTGTTATTGTTTAGGTTATCCTTCCTGATTTTTAGCACCACTAACATATTGGAGCATATTCTCACCCCTTTACTTTATGTTGTCCACCATGGACATCTAGAAGATAATCAGGAATATAATTTTGTTAATGTGAGTGGAACATAGCTTCTTGGATCTTACCTTTATTTATTTTATCATGCATCGCTTTTAGTCGGTTAAATGCTCTAATCTGTTACAGAGGGGATGAAGCATTTTCACTATTTTTGAATTAATGCTAAATTATGTGGTTTAACACTTTATTTGTGAAATTTGATGTTGAAGTTTTATTATGTTAATTCCATTGCATGTTGTTAAATGTTTTTCGAAAGTTTTTGGATGGTTGTTGTAGTGACACCTTAAATTATCGATTACATATTTTTGCATAAGTTTTGGGGTTTAGGGTATTACATAGTAGTATCAGAATAGGTCATCCCGTCCAACCAGGTTATGTAATTTTGTCTGTTCCTTAGTATGTGACGTGTGTGTGAAACATTGTCGTTGCTCGTTTGTTTTTCTAACCGCTTTCCAGCAAGAACGTGACTGAAACATGTGGGAGAGAAGCTTCTTCTTCTATGAGATGCTTCAAGTGTGGAGGATTGGTTCAACGTGTCGCCGATTGCAAGAGTGCACGTGTTGTTGAGGTTGTGTTATTTCCTGAACTCGAAAAAAGTGTGGTTCAGTTATTACTTCGTTGGTGTGTGCGAATTGTCCTTTGACAATTTATCATAGACATTTTAGGATTGACTTAGTTGTTTGCCTCTAAGTCAACTCGAAGTTATTATGGGAATGAATTGGTTAGAGTTCAGCCATGTGCATATCAATTGTTTTGATAAGTCGGTGAAGTTTCTTGAATTCGAAGAGAGTACGAAGTCGAGTCTCAATACCGCAAGGTAGGTAGAGATTTCCTTGAGATAAATTTCACAAGTGTTCATGGTGTTCGCATCCTTGAAAGGAGGAAGTGAGAGAATTATTACGGATCTACCGGTTGTGTGTAAGTATCCTGAAGTGTTTCCAGAAGACATTAATGTTTTGTTGCCTGAGCGTCAAGTGGAGTTTGCTATAGACTCACTACTTGGTACTATTCCAGTTTTGATGGTGTCATATGATAGCTACTTCGAAGTTAAGTGAGCTGAAGAAATAGTTGGTGGATGTACTTGAGAAGAAGTTTGTTCAATTGGGTGTTTCGCCGTGGGGAGCGCCAATGCTGCTAGTTAAGAAGAAAGATGGTAGCATGAGGTTGTGTGTCGATTATCAACAGCTAAAAAAAATTATTATCAAGAATAAGTATCATCTTTCTAGAATTGACTACATGAGAAGAAGTTTGTTCAATCGGATGTTTCGTCGTGGGGAGCGTCAATGCTGCTAATTAAGAAGAAAGATAGTAGCATAAGGTTGTGTCTTGACTATCGACAGCTGAAAAATGTTATTATCAAGAATAAGTGTCCTCTTTCGAGAACTAATGATTTTATGGATCAATTGGTTGGTGCTTGTGTATTCACTAAGATTGATTTGCGGTTCGGTTATCATCAGATTCGTGGAAATAAAAAATATTCTGAATGTTATTTGGTATGGTCACTATGAGTATTCTATAATGGTGTTTGGTGTGTCTAATGCACCAAGTGTGTTTATGGAATATATGAATAAGATTTTCCATCCTTATCTAGATCAGTTCGTGGTGGTGTTCATTGACAATATTTTGATATTTTCTGAGTCAGATGAAGAGCATGCAGAGCATTTGAGAGTGGTGTTGTAGACCTTGCAAGAAAATAAGTTATATGCAAAGTTATCCAAGTGTGAGCTCTGGTTGCGAGAGGTAAGTTTTCTAGAGTATGTGATTTCTAGTGGTGGTATTGATGT